ATCAATGGCTGTTAGTTCATTGTAAAGTTCTACTCCTAACGACTAGTGGCGAACCTATTGAGTAACGTCCACACGGACACGCATACGCAAATAAAAATTTCGATGGTTACTGACTGCCTACTGAATCACTCGATTGAAAAACTATAATGAAATAAATTATCAAACGGTAACCGAAACATCAGTTTATTATTATCTCTGCACATAACTTCATGCTATTGACAAATACACGTCTCTTCTTATCCCATGTGGTTCGTCGTTTTTTAGATACGCTCTGAACCTCGCTCGATTCTCATACAGTGTGAGAGGAGGGAGGGGACAAGCTGTTTTCAATCTTTGTGAGAAAATGTACCCCTATCTGTGTGGTTCCTTTTATGGAGTCCAACGATTGCAACAGGAAACGGTGCTTGTTTTTACCTTAGTTTTTTTCGGGAATTTGTGCATGATTTGCTCTCCCTCTGATCTAAACCTGGATATTCGATGTATAATATACAAATCGTCCTTATTTCATAGAATCAGTTCTACAATTCTGACAGAAATACAATGGAGGTGGGGGGAACTGAGGATGGTAGTTGGCTAAAATCTCTGATTTCCAACCAACCGAGAATAGGCGTGGAAACCCCACACACACACCCTCCTGATTGTGGTAGTGGTTTGACCGATCTTTGGAGTGTTTTGGGAACGTTGGATGTTTGACCCGTCCAAAGAACGTTTCATCCGGACACTGGTCCCTAGTGGATCGCGGTCTCAAAATACCGCCCCGCTACCTCAGCTAACCGAAGGCTCCGATTGTGAATTCTCTAGAAAATCCATCTGCTTCGGCTTGGGCAACCTGGCTGTAGTTCAGCCCGATAGCAAATCAATAACCGTTGTCTTTTTAACTAGACTATGCAGCAATGATTTTTTTACCCGTGGTCTGAAAACAGACACGTGTGAAATGCATACCTATACAGGTGAGGTTTATCTGAAAACACCCATCGAAAAACATTATTGCATACGGTAATACGTTTAGCAATAAACTGCAGTGGTTGGGACTCAATCAGGTAATGCTAATATGTGAAATGCAAATTTGCATAAAGTAGCGTAGAAAAATTCGGTCACCAATAGTAATCTTTATTCTGGAGATTAAACATTAGTCTACCTATGGGGTTGGAAGATGACAACTAAATCATCACATAGGTGGTGCTACAGATATAATTTTCCACTCTTAGATGCAATTATGGAAGGCCGGTTAGATTGAATGTGATATGCACGAACTTTATCCTCTTACCTGTTTTCGTTGAATAAGTTCAATAATAAAACCGGAGCGGGGCGGAAACAAATATATAATCACTTTGTTTTGGCATCATCCGCGCCTCTTTCTCTGTTGGACTTCTTTCAATTTCCGATATTGGGAAAAGATTCGAATTCTCAATTGCTATACCGTTGTGAATTAGCTCCACGTGCGCTCCCCGAGGAACCACCGGCTCCACCAAAAGCACCGGAAAAACGTGATCCTCTTATTTGGCTGGCTGAATTACAACGAACGGACGGGTCCTGGACTTTGGATAGCGAACTGGCCAGTTGTTTGAATGTGGTGTTCACTGCACTCCGTGACGGCATGCCCAAAGCTTGTAAGTTCTCCTGCCTAATCTGTGAGAGAAACTAATTTCGCTTCCATAGTCCTGTATAGAAATGATTTTCACAACACAGGTCGTAGGCTAACATATGTTTTCGGTGAGTTCCTTCTCAAGCCAGTACATCATTTATTGCGTCCCACCTCATAAATCCAAGGCTGTTCGAATTAAAACGCTGGCTGCAGCCGAGGCACTTACCATCCGCTTGTTGAAGTCAGAATTGTGCTCAAAAGCATGTTCAAATACTTAAACTTCCCTGTCCCAACGCGGACAACATCACATATGAGCGCTGTGATGACCCAAATCAATTATCAACGCTTACGTAACCCGTTCTTATCTGAACAAGAGAACTAGAGACAAACGGGTCCCTGCCCCACCCCTTTGTTGTTTGACCCCAACACAACACCCGCCATTTTCTTACATAAATGATTGTACTGGCTTGAGAAAGATCTCTACTGTGTTCTGATTAAAACTATGGTCTTATTTTGTGATAAGAAATGATTTTCTTGCAGAGCGCCGAAGGTCCTCATGGATATATGTGGATAGTGTTAGATTTAAATATGGTTCCTGTCTCTCGTCGTTTTGTAAGTTAAAATCCAACGAAAGTATTCATTTTTGCAATGACAACATCAATGTCAATCACCCTCAGGATGAGAGGAAAGGTTATGCACAAAAGAGAAATACACTGGGTTTTCATTTCTCGTTTTTTATGATTAATCGCACCACTGTGGCTACAAGACAAACTAAGTCGTATATTTTACGTCAACCGGTTCCTTTAGTTTGTGCAAACGCAGTCATCACCATGCTCCCCCCCCTCCACTCCTAAAGTGAATGTCGTCGGAGCCGACCAAATTGGTTCCCTCCGCGGAGTTTTGTTCCGCTTTGAGAGTTTTTCAGAGAATAGTGCAAATTTATTTTTAGCATCCACCTATCCCCACAGTTGTTTCTGCTCATCGCTTCCGAATAAATCCCTCTTATTAAGACAGAATCCATCTTTCAACTGTTTTTCTCATCATATGTTTTGTGCAAATGGATGTTTGGCAGACTTGTATATGTATTGGGCACAATCCAAGTTCAGTTTGTGTGTGGTGGTGGTCAACCGGGTTGAGTCACCGGTGTCACCGGTGTGTTCTGGACTGCAGGTTCCGAGGTTTCTACACCACCGCCCAGCCATAGGGGTGGACAACTCTGTCGTCCAGCTCACAATAGGACCATATGTAGTCCGACACCCCAAGTCCCGGGGATTAGGTTACCGATTTCCATGACTGAATAACAAGTCCTCTCGACCATACAGTTTACCCTGTCTTCTGTTTACAATGATGTGTAGAAAATAAGGTGATTGGATCGCACTTTTCACCGTAAACTTTAAATGCAAACATCTCTTCGTCATTGCTTTCTGCAATTGACTTCTCGGAGTACTTTTATCCGGTAATCAAGGACAGGAGATGTAGTATGCTCATAACCCCGTCGGGTTTTAATATGAATCCAACCGAAAGAAACGTCATCAGTGCACCGCTATTCTTTGGGCGGTTTGCATGCATCAGACGTGTGATAATGGAATACTGAACTTCATTTAGACAACCATGTGTGCCCCGTTGAGATGCAAACCTCTTTATATAACGTCCATTGGTGTATAAAAATAATAGACACTAATTTATCACTAAGTGTGAGTGGGAACTGTCTTTCTTATCGTCCTTTCCATCGTCGCCTACCTGCCTTTGCGCATTCAGTTGTCGGAGTATAAGCAACGGACACTATCGCAGTTGTCAATGGCTGTCTTAAACAATTGTACGCATACTGCAACTAACGCGGCACAGGCGGAATTCCTGAGTATCTACCGACACTATTTGGCAAATGATTCCAACTACTTTCTGAGGAACACCTGGATATCCTACAGTTTTCTTATGTACCATGTAACACACCGGGGTGGTCCGTGAACTGTGCTCGTCACCGGATCAGCCAGTGTTTTTGTTCGGTGTTTAGTCATACGACCCAGTAGCTGTGTACGGTCGAGGGAGTTTAGAATCTTTAATGGTTTCAGTGGTAAAGTCAGACAGGATCAGGACACTGCTTGCACGAAGGCGCCTGTCGATCTTTTTGGATTGCACTGTCTGGGAGGAACACTGTGTGGTCTAAGTTTAAGATATTGGGAATAAGATTTTCATATTTTATTGAACAACTCTGTGGAAGTAACTCCCTCACGAACAATTTAAACAAACTTCAATCCCTTGTAGATCCATTAGTAATAATGTCGTTATTATGAAAACAGTGTGAAAAATTTGAAAAGGATGATAGCTGGAAATCAAATTTTCGTTATTGCACTTAATAAAATATCTTGCACTGGCAGATGGCCTTTTATCTGCACTCTTTACAAGGAATCATTGTTTCTGGCCACAATGAGTAGTCTTTTGTTCTTGTTGTCGAACTGCTTAGATGATGATATGAGAAGAGCCTGCACCCTAATGGTGATGTGTGTCGCATTCAGCATGTGCCTCTCCTCCGTTTCATTCGGATGGATTATGTTTTTAAGGTTTCGTTCATCCAAATATGGGCTCTGTCAACCATTGAGTAACTTATCGAAGCATTCACGCGATGGTAACTAACTGTGCTATACCACATATACATAGTTTCCGTATGGTCGGGGGTGGGTGTCTTGGGTTGTGACTGGCCGCCCCTTGCCTTCCCCTTGCGAAATATTCCCACACTACCAAATGTCTCAAATAGTCTCTCTCTGCTTAGGAAGCCCTTCTCATTGCTTTCCAGTGACGCAGGTGTTTTCTCACCAAAGTGTGAGGACGAGAGTCCAATAT